TCAACGCGCGAACGGACTCGCCAGGACTGGATGAATGAAAAATCAAAACATTGTAGCGATGAACACTTTTAAAAACACATCGGGATTCTGGGATTTTACACAGCAGGCCGGCTAAAAAAACGATAATGTGAAGAAAAACAATTTTTAGGTGACAGCCGTCGAAATTACTGTGAATTTGGATTTTCGGTGCAGTTACAAAAGTAAGAACAGCGGAGAAAAACTATTACCTCGGTCGCTTGTTATTAAAAAATGACAACAACATAAGCTTAAAACGTTTTGTATATAGAAATTTACGGTTAGACGGGACTGTTCGGTCAGGTCATTCTGCTGTTATGTAGTATGCAAGGGTAATAATCGGCTTGAGAAACTATATAATAGGAACAGGTCTCGGAGTCATTTTCGTTTGTATTTTGCTTCTAAAACACCAAATTTATATGATACACGGTACGCGGTATTTTGAGTACTCCTGTGGTATGCGATGTTCAGGTACGACTGAAATTAAAGCAACAAACGCCAAAGCGATAAGAAAGGGATCTTGACAAACAATCGAGACAAGAAATATAATTCAATGAAAAATTTAAAAATTTAACTCAACTGCTGTGTTGCCGTTGATGACTGAGCATCATCAAGATATATATCAAGACCCACTGATGCTATATTTTTAGATTTCTCTAAAGCGTTTGACTCTGTGCCTCACGAACGGCTGTTCCTCGGCTCAAATTAAATTGTCACGGGATCGAAGGCTCATTACTGCGTTGCTTTAGAAGCTTTCTGACTGACCGCAAACAACGTGTTGTTGTTCGAGGCACCCACTCACCCTGGTCTTGTGTAACGTCGGGCGTTCCCCAAGGGACGATTCTGGGCCCAATTTTATTTCTAATTTACGTCAATGACATATTTTCTAACATCTCTTCGACATTAAGGATGTTTCCGGACGACACCAAGGTATATAGAGAACTGTCAAACATAGCAAGGGACAATGAAGCCCTATACAATTTGATGTCGATCAGTTACTATCCTGGGCATCTAAATGGCAACTACGCTTTAGTCCCGTTAAATGCGAGGTTTTATAACGGACAAACGAGACCTCTCCCTCCCTACATACTCGTTGGGTACGAGCCTTAAAAGCAACAAAACCAGCAACGACTAAGAGAAATCTTTAAGGAGCCTCCCTTCATATCTTATCGCAAGGGAAAATCTCTTAAGGACCTACTAGTTAGAGCGAAGCTCTGAAGGTCATACTACTTCCAATACGACTTAGCGCAGGAGTCGTGTGATGCCCGTCGCTTATTTTTAACCATTTCCTTCTTTGATCTCTACCTCGACAAACATAACATTAGATGTTCAAGGACCGTGACACCGGCTGCTTTGACAGTAAATTTCTCCAAATAGTAGTTCCCCCTCGGAAGTAAAATATGTCTTTTTACCCGAAATAAATATTTTTCTTTCTCTTTTCTTTTTTCAATAAATATATCTTTAGAAATATATTCCTAAAAGTTCAGCAGCCAAACTTTTTTAAAGTTTAATTTATTAAATAAATCGTTTTATTGCTACCTTAGCGTTATGTGACACGATTTGGTGGGTGCATTCGAAGCATAGTCACAGGGCAAGACTTAAGAAAGGACCAGAAAGTCAGTCATCGCATTTGCTTGTTGCAATATTTTGTTATAATTATTGATATTATTAAGCTTAAAAATAATAAAAAATGCCAGTAGGCAACTTTTTTTCTTCTTTATTTACAGGAAAACTGAACGGAAGTATACACCATTAAATTTACTTACCTTTGCCACTAACCTTTGCTAGTCTCGCCCTTCCGTACGTTCTTTATTCGACATACAACAGTTGCGTGTTTAGGGAATTTTTTTTTTTTACAGATAAAATGAAGTATTTACATTTTACAGCGGGCAAGTCCTTCACGAATTGACCTTTACGCTGTATGGGACGAGAGTACACGGTAATCCTTAAAGATAAGGATTGTACCCTAAAAGCCGAGAAATCGAAAACCAGAATAGGGTGTCTATTCACGTCTACTCCACATGTTAATTACGTGTTTATGAATCCCCATCACGACTAAACTGATTGCTATTTTGGCTTGAAAACGGGGAAATGTGTAAAGTCAATGTCTACATACCTCAACTTAAGCAACTTTAGTAATAGTAGGTCATAGTACATTATTAAGACGTGATGAATCAAGCACTAGCACTGGCACGTTGTCAATAGCTCAGGTTCGATATATGAAAATTCTAGCATGAGTCTTTATGGCTATATTTTTTAGTCTGTATTTGGTTTTTTATTCTTTGTGCTTTAGTCGACTCTTCTGTGAATTTCGAGATAGTCTGGACAGTTAGAGAGGGAGCCTTGAATTCAAGTTGGAATATTGATATATCGAACTTTGGTTATTCCGTGATGAACAGTGAGTGAAGTGAGCTTGACAGTGTTCGATTGGCGGATTTATAAGAAAACAATTAGATTATTTAAATATTTCATCGAATTACGCGTCACCGTTTCATGTCATCGCGTAAAAGTCACATAACAAATGCGAAAAGACTCAATCTGCCAAACAATTTTCGAAAACAAAATTAACTAAGACTTGCACAATAAAAGCTTAATTGATTCAGTTACAAGAAGAAATACAGGGTGTCCCAAAAGTTCGTTCCTCTAATTTCATGCACTATAACTTCTGATCAAAACTATATTTATCTATACTTCAAGGGTTTCTTGCCTTCAAAACCTTCGTGATCATTCTACCACCCAACATTCACAAAAAACAAGGAAGGAGTTCGAGCAATTCAGGCTATGACATACAAAAAATATGTGGCTGGAAAAGATACTCGCGCACGCTCACCTTTGGGGCGGAAGTACGCAAATCGAATATTCGAGTCAAAAGATGGCACAAAAAGTATGAAAACAGTGAATTATATTGAAAGACACAACTATTTCCTTACCAAGTCCAATCGAACTGAAATACAGACTTATAAAGTAGCGGAACAAACTTTTGGGACACCCTGTATTGTTGTCCCTTTTGTTTGATAAAAGCGACAGTCGACTCTTTTCAGCAGTTGCATTCTTGGATAACCTCCGTTAACAACCTAATAAGGTCTGTCTTTCTATCTTTTGCTCGGAAAGGTACTTCAAAGTGCCGAAGAATAGTCTTGAGCATTGCAACATTGAAGGCCTGTAGCTTTCCTTCCTTTTGATAGGCGCAAAGATCATATGTTTCATATACTATCGGATGCTCTAGTCCAATTCTGCTTTGAATATCGTCAAGCAAATTGTTGCGATCAGAGTCTCCAATGAGGGCGTCGATGTCGTCATTCTCATCTGCTGTAAAATCAAATGTCTCTTCCTTTGATATAGTATCCTGACCGCGAGTTCTCTGCCGTGAAGTGAGGCGTGAAAAAAAAGAAACATTATTCAGGTCTTGGTGAGCCACTCCTCTCTTTGAAACATCTTTCATTCCGTTCATTTCTGGCATTGCGCATTTGACTTTCGATCTCTTCTGAATTGGCTTTTTTGCCCGTTCTTTCTCCCATTTCAAACCTTGTTGTAAGGTACCGTCTCACGTTCTCAGGAAAACGAACTCCGCCAGTTCTACCTTTGTTAAGAGCCCATCCGATACTTAGACGAGAATTTGTGCTGTTAACAGTCAGACCAGTGGAGGATTTGTTGGTTGTTAACTTCTGGTTCTCAATGGAAGAAAATTTTTCAGCCCGGTTTTTCTGTAATTTATTATAAAGACTTCCCGACTTTCTAGTATCATGTATTCCTACGTCTGTATGCAACTCAAGTTCGGAGAAAGAGTCAAAAGTGCAATTATAGCCTTCTTCAGGGCACTCAAACATCGATGGCTGATCATTAATTTCAACGTCGCCTTTACTTGCTTGACACTTCCTTGGGCGATGAAGGTGTCTTATTTCTGTGTTGGTGAAGAATCCTTTTCCCTCCATTAATGATATATTTGTGCAGCCCTGGTGCCGTATGTACAAAGATTGCCAAGGGATAAGCCTGTCGACCCCAACAGCGTAAGCTTTCCACACTCTTATCCCACTCTCTTCGTATCTAAAGTTGTGCAACTCACTAAGTTGTTTTATCTTCTGAACCTCAAGAACTTCAGATGACTAATCCAAAATGGCTACAGCCGCTGTTGTTCCTTTGACAGGCCGTTCCTTAAGCGCCTTGGGCATTGGTACATTGCTCCTACGTTCATGATGTAATGGCCTTCCGCACAATATGCTTTCTTATTGCTGTTTTCATGGGACAAAGTACCCTGTCACAAACATCCTTTCCTTGCTGGGCTTCTGAAAAATCATAACGTGCAACTGTAATTCCCACTCGATCTCCAATATCTTTGACTGCTGCTATTAGGTGATTGCAAGGGTAGCAGCCAGCCTCGTCAGAACGTAAAAATGCCTACTTAACATTTGGAAAATTTACTTTGATGTTTTGAAAAAGGTTTTTTTTAAATAGATACAACCGCATACCAATCTTGACAACACGAATCTAATAAATGGGTACACGACAGGACCTTAGCTTTCTGCGTTTCTTGGTCTTTTGATACCACACTGCTTATATGCAAGCTAAGGCCTCTTTTAGCAAACCATTCACTTTTCTTTTCTCTGTATTTCATTTAAAGAAATTTCATCGCCCAGTCAATAGCAAAAAGGACTGATTGACTGTCAAGACTTTGAAGGGCTTCTTGTTTAGCAGATTCTTGGTTAACAGAGCGTAAGGCATGAGATTTCCAAAGAAAAATGCCATTCTTAGATCGTAAAGAAGATCAATGACAGACTTTTGTTCTTGACTGTAAAGATGGCTGGAGTGTTTCTTTATACTTTCTTCCATCTCGTCCAACGTTGCCTTCAATTGTTCGCATTGTTCTCACACCATATTGTGTGAGTGTGAGCTCTGATTGTCGAAGCATGGATCAACTGGATCGCTTAACGCAAATTTTCTGCAGTGGTCTGCGCACTCACTCTCCTCTGCTGAACAGTTCACTTTAAACTCCGTCTTCAGGTATCTTTTGCCATCGTTCAATCTCTTTGCCAGTTCTGTAACTCTACTTCTTTTGTCGCCACCAGCCTGATTCAGCTCTTCTAGAATACTCAATAGCCGCTCAAAAGATGCGACCCTTCGCTGCAATGTTGTCAAGACCACTGAGAGACTTCTGCGATGAAGCCTCTCTCACTTCAAGAATGCGAAAAAGGGTTGTGCGGCTAGCCGGTTCAAATGATTCTTCTTTGCAATGTTGAAGGTACTACATAATCATGGTCGATCCAGTCACGGTCCGGATTACGTTTGACATTGTTATTTTGCCTCCCCCATCTAAGGTCAGTGTCCGCGTTCCAAAGGCGACGCCTTGGTAGAAATAAGGACGGTTTACAAAATCTATAAAGTGGTTGACTTTGCTTGTGTCCAGACGTACTCGATGGCTGAATACTTTCGGGACATTTGACCCAGGCCCTCGTTTCCTTGCATGCAATCTCGCTCGTTTTATTTGTCTCAAACTTATCTTTTCATAAGGCTCGTGGAATTTCTTTAACAGCTTCATGGTAATCCGATAAGCGTAGAAGTTGAGTATTTGAATCTTAACATTTCTTTGTCATGGCATCTCGATATGCAGACATCGAAGCAATAAGATCCTCTGTTGGTTCATCAAGATCGTTCGCGGTAGGCTGGTGAATCGCTTGAAAAAGCTTTTCGCCGTCTTTCGGAGCTATAACACTGCAGATTACTTCACATGCTTTCGTTGCTTTCTCTATGCAAGTTTTTCTTTCATCCGTTATTGCTTCCTCCCATGTCGTGGACAGTTGGCATGTTAGTGGCATGAGGTCTTCCCTTTTTGAATTTCTAGCTATTTTCGCCATTCCCTCGTTGAAATCAGCAACGACGTCATCGAATACTTCAGGAATTTCGTCTGTATGTAGGTCTTCCTGCGAACTACCACTTCCAATCCCACTCCAACAGTCAGGCGCTCAGTTAGCGTCTGCAAGCCTGTCTGTTTGTGGGGCGCGAAAGCTTCTTTTAGCAGCCTGATAGAAAAAAAAGGCGTCTTTAAAATTTATTTTGTCAATACTGTACTACAGTTCGCCAAGAGTTTGAAACAAAACATTTTGGACTTTTGGAAAGTGACATATTAAGTAAACCGACATACGTTATGGACGCAATATTAAAAACTGCCGCCCCTATTTAAGCCCGGCGGTGAAAACAAAAAAAACGCAACCCGAGCATCACACTCATCCTAAAACAATGTTGGAAACTTATTTTTCTGCCTAGCACTGTTTGTAGTTCGGAACGGCGAAAGTTAGCAAGCCCATTTTTTTCCACCAAAAGGAACCATTTTTTTTAGGGGTTTGTACAGATGTCAATTTTTTATACCATCAACATGGAGAATACAGGAATCTACAAGAAGAGGTAGATAACCGCCAACAACGATCGTTTACCTGTTTCTTAAGCCGTAAGCTGCATGCAGCACTGTGATGCGGACCGCATTCTTCCTCCTTATTAGGATCTAACTTAAGCCATTTCCTATTTTTGTCCATCACTTCCTTATGTTTGCATCTACACCCCCACATATTGCTAAATAGAAAAGATTGAGTGAACTACTGAGTTCATCATGGTCTTGAAATTTTTATGACAGCAGTAACAATTACAGTACTTCGTCATCATCATCGTCGTCGTCATTATCATTATCATCAATTTTTTTTTCCTTTTCTCTTTGTCTTCTCAAAGAAAAAAAATCTCTCATCGTGATAAAGAATTAAGTAATTAAATTATCATACGATTTTTAATTCTTACGTGATCCTATTCCCACGGTGACTTTAAAAACCGAGTGCATGTATGTTCTTTGCAGTCTCCAAACCAATTACGTGCCTTTCATTACAATGTTTCTTTCTTGGTCCACTGTGCGATGGATACTGGCAAGAACGAGGTGGCCGCAAAAATTTTCCGAGTTTATGCCGATGTTGTGGGCAAATTACCATCTGCTCCACTTCATCTTTCGTAACGTCAAAATGACCGGCCCTTGACGGTATTAGTTCTGCTTCACTGAGTCCAGACATTGATAGATGACAGATTTTAAGCTGAGTCGTAATTGTGTCCTGATATTCATCTACTTTTACCATTTGGGACAAACCGCGCGAACTTCCACACGTTATTTTCTCAATTTCCCTAAAGTTGCACGATTCGAAATTTATGTTGAAGTTGTAGTATTTGCGCGTGCCAACTTCGCCTTGGGATGAGGGACAGGGACTCTTCTGAGTTAGTGTTAATTAAGTCATTCAAGTATCACTTAAGAAGTAAGGATTTTCATATACACAGATTTAATACTTTACATTAAGGGAAACATTCTATGAGGTACTATGGACCACATATATGGTCTAGATTGGACGGCAAAGTCAAAGACAAACCTATAGCTTACAATCTTTTAAGTCCAGCATAAGCTTCATTAACCTTGTAGATCTTATAAGTGACAGTCGTGGTTCCTGTGTAATTTGTAGTTCGTAAGGTATTAGAACTGCTATAATAATAGCTAACCAAAATTAGTGTAGTTAACTTAGAATTGGCCAAAAAGATAGTAGTTAACTGATATTTGGCCGACAAATTAATAGTTGACTGAGAATTGGGTACCCCCATTAGCACCCTCTTACAATGCCGCTCTGGAGGCATGGTTCCCCCCAAAAAATTGTTAGAAATAGGATTGTCTATTATAAGTTGTACTCCATGCTTACGGTTTGAGTGCAATTATAAGAAACAACTAAAGTCAATACAGATGTTGCTGGTAAAAAAGCAGAATCTTACATGAGAGGACACGCAGGATTTTTACTAAAGGAGCAAAATCTCACGCAGAGTTGCAAGCAGAATTATAAGCTTTGTCGGAAGCTAATGCGACTTAATCCCATTTAATATGTATATATATATTTTACGTTTTATTTGAATTCAAACATACAGAATTTTTTCTTCTCACGGAGGTTATTTGCTAAACACCACACTTTAAGTTCCTGGTGTCGGATTTTCATTAGCATTTCTAGCACGGCAAAATTCGGATTTTATCGATTTTGAAGTTTTTTGTTTATTGTTGTCATAGTGATATCGATTTTACTAAAAACTGTATTTTGACAAACTTCATTTCATAAGCAATCACTGGTGAAAAGTTTGTAGCGATCTAACAAGGGTAAAATCACTTTTAAGGCGATTGAAAAACATCGGTATGGTCTCCGAAAAACTGTATCGAAACACCTTAAGGCTGCACTATAGGTGACGCACCCATCGGTGCAGTGTAATCCAGTGATTCTCTAGGTAGAGCTATATAACAAAAATATAGGCTACACTTTAGGTCTCTTTTCTCTTTTCGTGGCCGTTAAATTGAAACCAGAGATCGTCTCCCAAGGGGAGTTAAAAGTTAACTTGGAACGTAACTGTCGTGTCCGACGCGCCAGACAAACAACCATTTGATACCAGCAATATTATATCCCTTCCAAAACGACACATAAACACAGGAACACTCCAGATAAATACATCCTATTATTTTATTAGCTAATGCAGCGTAAATACTTAGCAATTATTCCACGAGGGCACGTTGGATATGAGTTGGCTAATATAATCATCTCATATCCAACAAGCACGAGTGGAATAATTGTTTTATTAAAAACGCCCACAAAATCTCGTTGAATCTCCCCGACTTAATCTTGTTAGAACGAACCGGAAAAGACAAGGGACTTCCGCTATTCACAAGTCAGACGTCTATCAAAACTATCAACGCGCGAACGGACTCGCCAGGACTGGATGAATGAAAAATCAAAACATTGTAGCGATGAACACTTTTAAAAACACATCGGGATTCTGGGATTTTACACAGCAGGCCGGCTAAAAAAACGATAATGTGAAGAAAAACAATTTTTAGGTGACAGCCGTCGAAATTACTGTGAATTTGGATTTTCGGTGCAGTTACAAAAGTAAGAACAGCGGAGAAAAACTATTACCTCGGTCGCTTGTTATTAAAAAATGACAACAACATAAGCTTAAAACGTTTTGTATATAGAAATTTACGGTTAGACGGGACTGTTCGGTCAGGTCATTCTGCTGTTATGTAGTATGCAAGGGTAATAATCGGCTTGAGAAACTATATAATAGGAACAGGTCTCGGAGTCATTTTCGTTTGTATTTTGCTTCTAAAACACCAAATTTATATGATACACGGTACGCGGTATTTTGAGTACTCCTGTGGTATGCGATGTTCAGGTACGACTGAAATTAAAGCAACAAACGCCAAAGCGATAAGAAAGGGATCTTGACAAACAATCGAGACAAGAAATATAATTCAATGAAAAATTTAAAAATTTAACTCAACTGCTGTGTTGCCGTTGATGACTGAGCATCATCAAGATATATATCAAGACCCACTGATGCTATATTTTTAGATTTCTCTAAAGCGTTTGACTCTGTGCCTCACGAACGGCTGTTCCTCGGCTCAAATTAAATTGTCACGGGATCGAAGGCTCATTACTGCGTTGCTTTAGAAGCTTTCTGACTGACCGCAAACAACGTGTTGTTGTTCGAGGCACCCACTCACCCTGGTCTTGTGTAACGTCGGGCGTTCCCCAAGGGACGATTCTGGGCCCAATTTTATTTCTAATTTACGTCAATGACATATTTTCTAACATCTCTTCGACATTAAGGATGTTTCCGGACGACACCAAGGTATATAGAGAACTGTCAAACATAGCAAGGGACAATGAAGCCCTATACAATTTGATGTCGATCAGTTACTATCCTGGGCATCTAAATGGCAACTACGCTTTAGTCCCGTTAAATGCGAGGTTTTATAACGGACAAACGAGACCTCTCCCTCCCTACATACTCGTTGGGTACGAGCCTTAAAAGCGTAAAGCACGTCAAAGATTTGGGCATTATGGTGTTACACAAATCTCTCGTGCGCCCGTTTATTGAATATGCTGCTCCGGCCTGGAACCCATATGTGACTAAAGATGTACTAGCGTTAGAAAGAATTCAGCGAAGAGCCTCTCGGCTTGCTCTCGGAAAAAAAATGTGGTGAGATGGACTACGAAGATCGTTTAGGGAAAAAACTGACGTGTCCTACACTCGAAACACGTAGAATGTTTCTTTCTTTAATTGAATGCTACTGAAGATCGTTTTTGGCATGAACAAACTAAACTTTGACGACCTTTTTGAATTTACCAAGTGCAATTCAACCCGCGCTAACCATCCGTGTAAGCTATATGTAAAGCCAGCAAAGTGTAATCCATATAAATATTCTTATCCTATCCGAATCGTACGAGACTGGAATAGTCTACCAGGATCTATTATTGATACTGGAAGCCTGAGCCGTTTCAAGAGTGCACTGAAGCGCTTCTTAAATATCCACTAGTTGTTTGCTTTGTTCATCTACAATGTATTGATATTATTGATCATTAGTGATCCAATTTGTTTCTTGTAAATAGCTTTTTAAATGTATATTTTATATTATATATAGTACATAGCATATATCTGTTTCTATCTTTTTATTTAGGGAGACATCATAGGGTCAACCTCCAGTTTTCCTTTTCAAGATGTTTTTATAATTTTGAGTTCATCACCTTGAATGAATACGTTAAGTTATGTCATGTCATGTTATGTTAAAAGACAACAATTTTCATTCACGAAGACATGTATTGAGAGAGTGAAGTGTTTCTCCGAAAATCCTTGGGTCATGAATAAAACCTTGTCCAGATTTAAGCTTGAGGTAATACCCTTGAAGTTGTTCTACAATAAAACTTGTTTTGAAACTTGGCATAATCAACCTTCATGATATGAACATTAAAAAAATGCAACAAAAAGATGGGGTCACCATGCTTGTTTACGCGTCAGC